GATGGCAAGATTGCGTTTTTTCGTTGACTTGCGATGAATCAGCTCCACACCCTGGAATTTCGTTAATTTAGGTTGAAATTGAGTCCAAAATTGGCAAGCCGGTAATTGCAGTCACCGAGCACACATACCATACGGCGCTCAATATGAGTCCGGGGATTCCATATCGTTTCAGAGTGAGCACTGCTCTTTCATTACATTCCCAGCAGCCCTGAGCCCTTTTTCGATTTTTAAATGCTCCATTACTTTCAGGTTCGTGTTAACGTAGATGGTTGGGGAGTATGGAGTGATCCACTGTGGTACGAGCTTGGTCGTGGAATTGTGAGTTGTTTTTAACTGTTAAAATGAAAAAATTTATTTCTGGGTAGAGCGGACTAAGTTTGATCAAGTTAGATGAGTATAAATGAGGCTCCCCGGTATGACATTCGGGCGTGCGTATTGTGAGCGGTCAGTTTAGCTTCGTGTTCATACTACTGCGTGGGTCGATTCGGCTGCTTCTGTTCGGGTCTGAATATGAAGTGCCCATGCGGCTAAGGTTGACTTTAATATGCTATGCGATACCCAAATGGAACCGATCTGGGCAGAGTGGATTCAAGTACGCTTCGCGACCGCTCGCGTCTGTTCCATGAGATCGATACCCATTCAATCGAATAGGGAGAAATATTCTGCGTATTTGATGTCTCCTAGAGTAGCTTATGATTATTGTTCAATTTTTTCCAATTTTGCAGGTCCAACAACATCAAGGACCAGAAACGACACCTTTGGGCTCTGTACCAGGATGGGTGGTGTTGATGACAATGATATTATTCGTGTTACTGCTTGGATTTCTTGTTGTTCTATGCCGTCGGAAAAGGCATAATCGCAAGCAAATGAGTGATCTAGACGTGCTAGATACCTACAAACAAGGTAGGTTTCATAATTATGGAGAGTGGCTCATGTATTCATTAGTCACAGGATACGAGGCGTGTTGTGTTGCTTTTTTGGGATTCTTTAAAGAGGGATTCAGGGATGAGCGGAAGTCTAAATCTTTCTGATTTCCGGTAATTTCGAAATTCATTCCGCTCATCCTGATTGAGAAAGGGAGTCCGTGTTAAGCTTATGCTGCTGTTTTCGCTTCCGTATTGTGTTGACCCGTGCTTCGGTTTTTTACAGACACGATGACACCCGACTACAGTTCCGGTAACCGTCAATTCACCGATGCATTCCGATCCGGAAAATGTAAGTAGTAAACGGCTTCTAGATATCTAGAAATATCCATCCCTATCGCTTGGAATGGCTAGAGTGGTGTGAGAATGGCTTTCAGTTGTGTTGTGCATCAATTTCCCTGAACTTTTTTGGTTTTGAAGTAAGTTATGGGTTTTATTTCAGTAAATGCACCACTAATACCGTCCTATGGTGGAAGCTCAGTTTCACAACCGCCACCGTACTACGGTAGTGGAGGTGCTGCAGCGACATTCAAACCATATGTGGACCCGACCGCTTATGAGGATCCGAATCAGGTTAGTCTTCAATCGGAGCCGGGTAGCCAGACAGATGGAAAGTTCATGAAGGATTAGTTCGTCGTTAGATAGCTTTTCAGCCTTCTCGGTACTTGTTCTGATTATTGTAGGTAAATTGATAATTTCCCTTCCAGGCTCTGGTTGAATTCACCTTCGACATCGACCCAGCAGCAGTATTCATCACAGAAGTCATTGGTGGAGGCGAATTTGGTGATGTCTGTAAAGGAGGTCTCAAAAGAAACATGGTCGGAGGAGGAATCGCTAACAGTATCTTTGACAATGAGGTACTGCTCCTGATTATTTTGTCCTCTGCTCCGTTTTTTTTTTTTTTGAACAAAATGACTAAATTCAAATTGTTCCATCTTCAGATTGACGTAGTGGCTATCAAGACTCTGAAACCAGGTAGTAGTGCTAAAGCAAAAGCTGATTTCTTGTTGGAAGCGTCGATCATGGGACAATTTGCACATCCAAATGTGATTCGGTTGATAGGAGTGGTTACTCGATCAGAACCGGCAATGATTGGTGAGTTCATTTTTCTTTTATAATCATTGGGTGTGGCATGTGGCTGCAATTTAAGTTGAGTTAATTTTCAAGTGAATGAGTGT